TCTCATTCACAAATTTCATACACAAATTGTATTGTGACATTAGTTGCAATCCTTGCAGTGTGTCAGCACTCTTCCTCTTTCCGTTTCCACCCTGAGTTCTCAGTGTCCATTCATCCAGTTTTCCTGTCCCTTCCTGTCTTCTCTTCTTTGCTTTGGGGCAGGTGTTGCCCATTCGGTCTTGTATACTTGATTGAGTTTGTATAACTTTTAAACATTCCTTTTTTTTTTTTTTTTTTGCTTACTTCCATTTCTTTCTCTTTTATTTTTCCTTCAATAGACTTATCATACTAATATTAAGGAAAAAATAAGATTGTTAATTTTCTGTCTCTGTATCTTTTACAAAGTATACATTAGTAAACCATTTTTCAGATTGTAAACAGCTTAAATGACTAAGACACATTATTTTACCCTCTATCTTTAACCATCTAAATGATGTCAAGTGTACAGCATTAGCAAAGAATTTTAAAAAATTAAATTCCACAGAATATTTCCACAAACCTAAACTGGGTTCTGAATTTTGAAAGCTGGCAGAATTGAAATCCCTTCCATCCAGTGCAGAAGATAAGTTAACTTGACTTGCCTTTATTACCGCATTGTCTCAGGTTACTTCAACATCTACCATTTAGACGTGTAAGCCAGGTAAAATATAATAAAACAAAATATAACCCTCACCCCTTAACCTTTGACTGCCATCTACTCAGAACTTTTATCTTAGTTACTCTTTTCTCTTTTGTCTCCCCATTACCACTTCTCAATTAAATATCTTGGAGCATCTATCTCCACTGTCTCAATTACACTTATAACTCAACCCAGTGTAATTTATCTTCCTTTTCCATCATTCCACTGAAATTTCCTCACCAAGTTCACTATCAACCTCCCTATTCCTAAACCCAATGAAGGTTTTTTGTTTTTTTATCTGTTTGTCTTTCCCGCTTTGGCAGCTGTGTAGCATTAGACTCTGTTCAATATACCTTTGGTTTCCAGAGCAAAGCAGTCTCTGAGTTTATTTACTATTTGCTTTTTCTTTGATTCTCTAACTTAGAAGTTCTGTTTCTATAGTCTATGCTTCAGATGATCTGTTTTTCAGGTTCTCTCCAAAGCTATTCTGCCCATACCTTTTTATACTTTCTTAATTTCATCCAATCCAATGTCCTCAATAAGCTTTTATATGCTAATTATGTCTGTCTGTCTCTCTGTCTATTAAACCAAACCAAACCTGTTTCCCTCAAATCGCTTCTGACCCATGACAATCCCATATGTTACAGAGTAAAACTGCTCCATAAGGTTTTTTTGGTTCTAATCTTTATAGACGCTTATCACCAGACCTTTCTTCCATGGTACTATTGGGTGGACTTGAACCTCCAAAGCTTAAGTTAGTAACTGATTGCAAACTGCTTGGGCCACCAAACCAAACCTGTTGCCATTGAGTTGATTCTGACTCATAGTGACCCTATAGTACAGAGTAGAACTGCCCAATACGGTTACCAAGGAGTGGCTGGTGGATTTGAACTGCCGACTTTTTCGGTTAGTAGCTGATCTCTTAACCACTGTGCCACCAGGACTTAGTAGTAACTATCTACCATAGCTAAGGTTCTCATTGATACATTTATCTCCCCACATGGTCTGTTTTGAATTTGGTTTGACAAGCACCTTGGGACCACAATAAATCCTGAGGTTTTATAAGAGCATTAAAAGAAAAACTTATGTGTTTCTATTTTAAGCAAAAAAAAAAGAGGGAGAGAGATAAATTATAAATAAACCTCTTCCCCTGCCACCATCTTTTAGTGAAGATGGTCTACTTTATTATTACACTATATGGTAGCCTAATAATTATCCTCAATTAGGGTTCAAATCACAACTTCATAGCTGGAATTTAAATAAAATATTTTCTGATAAAAAAATTAAATATGTTTAAATACCATATGTGAGTAAAAAATCCAGTTGCCATTGAGTAGATTCTGAATCATAGTGACCCTGTGTGTGTCAGAGTAGATCTCCATAGGGTCTTCAATGGCTGATTTTTGAGTAGTAGATCATTTGGCCTTTCTTCTGAGGAACCTCTGGGTGGACTCAAATCTACAACTTTACGATTATCAGCTGAGCACATTAACCATTTGCATCACCCAGGGACTCCCATCATACCTATATTTGAGTAGAAAAGATAATGGCAGTAAAAACACTGAAATATTAGCAATGGTTGCCTCAAGTGGTCTAAATTAGGTAATATTTAATTTGTTTTAACCAAGATGATTCCTTATTTCCTAAAAGTAAGAAGAAAAAAAAAACTTGTAGGAAGATTATTGTGAAAGTAAAAGAAAGACACCCTTCCCGGGGCAAGAATGGCAAGTAAAAGCTAAGGTGCACTTTTTGCCCAACTGATGACATAATTCAGGGCTGACAAGACATCAGTGGTCATCATCCCTGAACACTGGCAGAGGCCAGGAGAATTGTAATTTTTATTCTTCAACTGCAACACCATCCACTGGAAATAAATGGCTGTTGTTAATATCACTTAGTCACTGAATTCATTCTCAAAGGAATTACAGAACTACCATAGCCCAAGGCACCATGTTTTGTGATATTTTTCATCATCTATCTGGTCATAGTTCTGGGGAACATTGGATTGATAATCTTAATCAAGATTGACACTCAACTCCACACACCTATGTAGTATTTCCTCAGCCACCTGGCCTTTGCAGACCTTTGTTACTCCTCTGCCATTACCCCAAAGATGATGATGAACTTCATTATGGAATGTGACACTATTCGTTTCCATGTTTGTGTAACACAGCTGGGCTGCTTCTTACCTTCATGATCACTGAGTGCCTCTGTCATGGATTCAATTGTGTCCCCCAAAATATATCTGTTAATTTCGTTGAGCCATGATTCTCAGTATTGTGTCATTGGCTACCAGCCATGATTGGCCACCATTTTGTCACCTGATATGATTTTCTATGTGTTGTGAGTCTTATCACTATGATGTTAATGAGATGGATTAGCAGCAGTTGTGTTGATGAGATCTACAAGATTAAATTGTGTCAAGCCAATCTCTTTTGAGATATAAAAGAGAGAAGCTAGCAGAGAAACATGGGGACCTCACCCAAAAGAAAGCAGCACCAGGAGCAGTGTGCATCCTTTGGACCTGGGGTCCCTGTGCAGGAGAAGCTCCTAGACCAAGAGAAGATTGATAGCAAAGTTTCCTCCAAAGCGGACAGAGAGAGAAAGACTTCTCCTGGAGCTGATGTCCTGACTTTGGACTTTTAGACTATTAAACGGTGAAAGAATAAACTTCTGTTTGTAGAAGCCATCCACTTGTGGTATTTCTGTTATAGCAGCACTAGATAACTAAGACAGCCTCTGTGGCCTATGATTGCTAAGTAGTCATTTGCAGTCACCTGCATTATTCAATATTGATATCAAACAGTTTGCATTTAATTAGTTCCAATTTTTAAAAATATCCCATCATTGTACAACTGTCTTTGGAAGTATAAAAAAGTAATTTATAATTGAGCTTCATGGTTTGACAAAGCTAGATTCAAACTTCTGTTCTTCCAGATATTACCTATGTGTACGTTAGTCATTTATGTAAGTTACTTTGACTATTCTCTTGGGAGAATGGAGAGTTATGTCTATCTCAGCTGGGTATTATGAAAATTCACTGAGACAGCCTATTTAAAGCACTGCACTAACCACCTCACACAACAAAAACACTAAACTGCTGTGAGCTCTAATTTTATTTTTAATCTTTGTAACTGAATAAATTAATAATTTATTACTCTATTCTTTACTAAACATAACAAGAGTGAACTGATTTTTTTTTTTAGAAAACAATGCATATTATCAGTATCATTGAGTAGAAGGAATGAGGGAATTGCTCACTCAATAAAAAATCGATTCAAAATATGTTCATCAACACACATAAAAATAAATTTAAAAGCATTGCATTGCTTTAAAAGAGCACAAGAAAATAAGTTTTTAGCTGTTATAGCTTCATTTTGTTGGTTTTAAAATGAAGTATATCATGTTGGCAACTATTTCCAAAAAGGCTACTCCAATTTCTAAGATTGAATCAAAGGAATCATTAATGCAGTTATAATATGAATAATTAAATGTAATACCCAATGTTTATGAATTGCTTGTTATGTGCTAGCAACTGTGCAGTGCTCTACATATTTATAACTTGATCTAATTCTCACAATCAGAGCCCTGGTGGTGCAGTGGTTAATAGCTCGGCTGCTAACCAAAAGGTCCGAAGTTCAAATCTACCTTCTTGGAAAATCTATGATGTAGTTCTACTCACAGTCAGCCTAAGAGAAAGGAACTATTACTACTTTTTGCAGATGAGGCAGTTGAGATACAGAAAAGTGAACTAACTCTCTCATCACATTATTTGGAAAAGCTAAAATTGTTAGCCAAACTGTTTGAATGAAGAATCCAAGTTCCTAACCACACACTTACATAGAATAGGCCTAATCACGCATTCATATATAACAGGCAGTGAATTATAATGGTATGAAGTGACCCTAATGATCTAAACTGATACAGAATCGGTATGAGTAAATGTTCAATGTCTTGGTAACTCTGTTAGTGCTATCCTTCCCAGCTGGGTGCAGAGAGAGTATCATGTTAGGAAAATTATCCAGAGTGTTCCAAACCAAAATTCCTGCTATTAAACTTTGGCATGTTTTCCAGATTATCTATGCAGGAGACTCAATATAAGATACCAGACCTTGATCTATTTTACTATAACCAAGATTTCTCAATATCACATGGATTTCAGATAAAATAAGTATTTGCCAATACTCTATTGATGAAGGCTATCATGGCCAAAACGGATTTCTCTCTCTCTTTCTCTATCTCTCTCCTTCTCTTTGCTTCCCTCCCTCCCTCTCTCTTTGTCTCTTCTTTCAACAACCCGAATAAAATTTACAGAATGCATTTCATTGGGAAAACATTCGGTATAAACAGTTGATAAGACTCATCCTGAGTCTACAGTGCTCTACCTCCGAAAAGTGAGCTTGAGCGCTTGAAGTAAGATATTTGATTTTGTCATTTACCAGCACTGTGACACTAGACAAGACATAACTCTGAGTTTCCTGATCCCTGTCATATGATTCTTCGTTTATCCGATAACCAAACACAACTTTTCTATTATTCTCTTCAGTGCATTTTTTTACCTCCTGATTTCTCAAGCTATAGATAATGGGTTTCGCATGGGAATCACCACCACATAAAACACTGAAGCAAATTTATCGGTGTTCAGAGAATGGCTTTTCTTGGGCTGTAAGCACATAAAAATAATGGTCCCATAAAATATTGTGATGGAGGTCAGGTGGGACACACAGGTGGAAAAGGCTTTCTGTCTTCCTTCAGCAGAGCGGATTCTAAGGATGGCAAAGAGAATGAAGCCATTAGAAATTAACACAATCAGTAGAGAGCAAAGGGTATTGAACCCAGCAATGATTAACAACGTCAATTCTTTGACTTGAGTGTCAGAGCAGGCCAAAGCAATCAAAGGAACATCATCACAGTAGAAATGGTTGACCATATTGGAGTCACAAAAAGACAAGCAGAATGTCACCACTGTCTGTACAAGACCCACAGTTAAACCATAAACATATGTGATAACAATCAGTTGAATACAGAGTTTCCGAGGCATGAGAATAACGTAGAGTAAAGGGTTGCAGATGGCAACATATCGATCATATGCCATGATGGAAAGCAAGTAGAATTCACAACCTACAAATGTGATAAAGCAACACACCTGAGTGGCACATGCATAAAATGTTATCCTTTTCACACAAAAAGTTCACTAAGGTGTTTGGGGTGACAGAAGAAGTAAAAGAAAAATCAGCAAAAGCCAGATGGTTGAGAAAAAAATACATAGGTTTGTGATGCTGAGGACTGATTTGGATTAGCACAATCAAACCAAGATTACCCATGATGCTAATTAAGTAGATCACTAGGAAGACACTAAAGAGAATGACTTGAAGCTCTGGGTTGTCTGTGAGTCCCAAGTGGATGAACTCAGTCACCTCTAAATGATTGCCTTTGGCCGTGGAAAGATTACAATAACCCCTCCAGAACACAGTTGCAAGTAATCTTGGGTCTGTTGGCAAAGATCAAGCAGATGTTAGAAGATGTTTCTGACCCACCAGGAGAATCTTCATGCTAGTTTTGCATTCAGTATGAAGGCATCTGTTCTAGGCAGAAATTCCAAAACATGAAATTATTTGGGGAATTGTAAAAATAGAAAGATAGTACTTTACTTAAAATTTTATATAATTGAAAAATCTATTTTTAATATGAAGAAAGAAAGACTGAGAGTTTTTTGAACACAGATGTCAGAATTTTTTTTAATGTATTGGAATACCTTAAATAAAACTATAATAAATTTTTAAAAAAATGTTTAATTAAAAGCAAATAAATTCAAAAGTCGATTCCAGAATAGTTAATATAGAAGGTCAGAGATAAAATTTTGAGTAGTGTTGATTTCTGGACCATAAATTCAGGGTTATTTTTATTTTTTTCTTTTACCTGTAATTCCCAGTTTTTTCTTCAATTGTGTAGTATTTGTTAATTAAAGAAGAAAAACGTGATAGAAATACAAATAGCCTCTTTTTATTTGAAAATTATACAAGGTTAAAGATGCATTAAGTGAAATAGAAAGCTCATTTATCATGTGTCTTGGAACATCCAAAGGCAAAGCAGGAAAAGAAAAATATCTTAATGAGTTTGTAGAAATGCAAGCTGATTTTTAGCTAATTAAAATTAAATCTTTTTAAATAAAATTTAAGTAAGCACGAAGTAATTTGCCTTTGTATTTTGTCTCAGATTATCTTTATATCAAGCTATAGATTGATAATGTGGCTATCATCTTTATTTGGAAATATACAAACTGAGGCAGAGAGTTTAGGTTTTCTTTATGGTTCTTGACCAGCATGAGACGAAAAAGAATAACTCACTAACTAGTCCCAGCCTTGAATCCCTAACTTCAACTCATAGTTTATTCAAATGATCTCCTTTCAGAGAGGAAAGAATTCTGCCATTGACCAGAAACAAAGCATCTTTGGAAAGGTGACTGATGTCCGTATCAAATGCTTAGAACAGTGCCTATCTCATAGGATGTGCTTAATAAAATTTAGCCCTTAACAGTATTATTTACATTGAGTCTTACTCTGCAGAAACGTGTGCAATCACATCATAGTTATGAATGTAGGAGTTTATTTGTTTTGCAGTATTTTGAAAAGTGTTGTCCCATTGCCTCACTGGCTTTAACTTGAATCCCTGCCGTTCCTGGCTCTTATTCTCTCTAGTACTTACATCACTGTGCTATCTTGAAATGTGTGCAGCTCTTGTTATGATATTACCAAACTCTCCAACATCTTCAATCACTTTATACTCCCTTGCTTAAAGTAAAACTTGGCTCCTCGTTGAAAATCTGCTTCTCTCCAGGCCACCACTCTGCAGGCTGCTCATTTGTAACTCTTCATATATTTTAAATTTGAGAGGTGAGATAAGGCATTGCTCATGCTCAGAGTATTGTTCTTTACTTATTATTACATCTTGCATTTGGGTAAACTCTCCTGATGCTTTGAAGCTTATACTCATCTTCATTACCATCACTTGTATATCTCCAGGTCACTCCTTCTTATTTATTGAAGATTTTGGCATGAAGATCATTCTGTCCCTTTTCCATAAAGGTGGCATCAGTGCCCACATAGACTGCACATTTAATATATTGCTTCTTGGATTCTTGAAATCTTGATGTCAAGTGACCCCAACACCAATACCCTTGAACTTCTCACTCATGGCTCCATTTTGGATCTTGTTTTATCTGGAAACTGATTAAATGCTAAGTATCCAAAATTAAAACATTATGTTACAATCACAACTTTTTGCCCTTCCCTTATATCTCGGTTATGACACTCCAACTTTTCATTTATTTATTCGTATCATTATTTCCCACCGATTATTTCTCTTTTAGTCACCTCCTTTGTTTATTTCTTCCCCCACATAGCTTAGATTCTATGATTTTCTCCTACAATTATTCTTTTCAACATCTTAAACTTTCTTGTCTTGTTTCTCTTCAGATACACCAAAATCTGGGTATACCTGAATTGTACTTCTCTTCACAATTGTAACTGAACTACCAAGAACAACAACCAGGCAGAAGTGAGCAATTACAAACTTATCATATCCATGAGTAGTCACTTTTGTCCAGAAGATTGGCTTTTTCCTGAATCCAATTTCTGTCTCATAGTCTGTATATAGCTATTATATAAGATCCTTTGAATTTCCTCATACTCTTCTATACCACACCCCCCTTACTCTCAGTAGATGCCAACAATACCAACATAAGAGAGGAATTTAAAGTCATAAAATAACATTTAAAAAATCAACTTCTTTTGGAGAGTTGCACAAACTTACTTGCTTCCACAGTTATCCTTTCTACATTTTTTCTTTTCTTTTTTTGGCGAGAGGAATGTTCTATTTCTAATGTTCTTGTTAGGTGCTCTCGAGATGGTTTTTACTCCTAACGACCCTATTTACAACAAAACAGCACACTGCCTCATCCTCAGTCATTGCTATGTTTGAGCCCATTGTTGCAGCGACTGTGTTAATCAATCTTACTAAGGGTCTTCCTCTTTTCCACTGACCCTCTACTTTACCAAGCATGATGTCCTTCTCCAGGGACTGGTCCTCCAAATAACATGTTGAAAGTACATAAGACAAAGTCTTGTCATTTCCTTTGCTAAGGAGCACTCTGGCTGTACTTCTTCCAAGACAGATACGTTCGTTCTTCTGGCAGTCCATGGTATATTCAATATGCTTCCCCAACACCATAATTCGAATGCATCAATTATTCTTCTATCTACCTTTTTTATGGCCCAACTTTCACATACATGTGAGACAATTGAAAATACCATGGCTTGGGGTCAGACACATCTCTGTTTCTAATACCTAAACTTATATTTTGATCACATACTCTTTTGCATTCCATATCCTCTCCCTCCGCTAATTTATTCAACTTTTCACATTGATCTATAAACAATGTATATGGTAAAACCTCACCAGTGATCTTTCATTTCTATTCCTCTCCCTTTATCTAAGTTACCGCTTTACCTCTGCCTCTTCTGTTCACTGCTTCATTATCACTCTAGAAAAGTTGCCAACGCTTACCTCTTCTCTCACATTCATATCTTGATCTATTCTATTATTGTCATGTCTTTTCTCAGCAAAGCATTGAAATTATTTTCAAGTACACCAACACTCTCCTTATTCCCAAATCCAACGAAGACTTCATGTTTGACTTCTCTGTAGCATTGGACACCACAGATATTTCTTTTATCCTGAAAAATATTGTTTTTTTTGGCTTCCAATTCACCAGACTCTCTGGGTTTTTCCATCTTTTTGTCCATTTTTACTCTCCCTTGATGGCTATGTTTCCTTTGTCTATACTTTTATATTATATAAATGACCTATTTATATTAAATTATATTTATATTAAATGACCTATTTCTTTAGAGTTCCACCCTTAGCCAACTCATTTCCTTTTTGAGCATGTTTGTTGAGGGCTCTTATTTAATGACATGAGGACAACTGTCATTCAGGTACCGATGATGCACAAATCTAAATATCAAGCCAGATTTTTCTCAAAGCTCCAGGTACATATATTCAACAACTTTCCAGATAACATTAATTAGATATTTCAGAGGTACCTCAATTTAAAATGTTCAAAAGAAAAATCAGAGATTCAAAAACCACCCCACCCTACTCATATGCCTTACAGCATATATTTTCTAACTCAGAGAATAGTGCCATCTCTCAGCTGATCAGTGTTTAATCTCTAAAATCTAAAAGATGCTCCAAAACCTCAACAGCAACAAGACAAATAACCCAGTTAAAAACTGGGCAAAGGATATGAACAGGCACTTCACCAAAGAAGATATTCAGGCAGCTAACAGACACATGAAGAAATGCTCATGATCATTAGCCATAAGAGAAATGCAGATCAAAACTACAATGAGATATTATCTCACCCCAACAAGGCTAG